TTCTTGACGTCGCCCTCTAGACGTCATGCTATAGGTCGTCCTCAGCGTCGTCCCATAGACGCCATACTTGGCGTCGATCTCCACGGATCCTGAACTTTAATACGTGTAGAAACATTAATCGAAAACATTTCTCCCGCGGGACTAGAATGATAGTGGTTTATCTTAAGATATAATTAGAAAGTATACTAGATTGTTTGTATATACGTCAGCAATTAAAGCTTGAATCTCGTAAAATGTGCGTTGTGAGTGCGCCTTCGCATGGTGCTGTTTCGGCCAATATTGTGGAATATACTCGCTTGTGCATGATGCGGAGAAAATAAGTGCGGTATTTGTAAGTTTGCTCGCGGCTACACCTAAACTTCCCGCAAAATTCGTGGCGCATTTCCTTCGAAGTTTATATACGCGAACGCGGTGATAATCTAATCATCCGCGTTCTGCTACTGATAGCTTTGCGCCTGCTGAACGAGTGGTAACTTTGGTGCGCCCCCGAGCTGAGCTTCAGGTCGTCCTAAAATTGACTGGTATGGTGGTTTTCGATTCTGGTCAACATGTTTTTAATTGAAACCATATGATTATTTTTACTAATTAAAAAGTTCATGAAGGAAGTTTAGTTAATTATCCGACCTATCGCAAACGTTAGCCACCTATTGATGTCCCCCTAGCCGTATAACTCACCGCTTACATCTTTTACGGATCTTTTGTAATGAATCTGTTCGAATTAGAATTCCAAATAATTTGCACCAAACTTAAAAAAAAAAAAAAGAGCACTTTGCGAGAGCGAAATCAACTGTATGTTAGCGGTTTCGGAAAGTCTAAATTTTTTTAGTGCGCCTAGCAATTAATTATTAAGACTAATTAGCTAACTTTTTAATCAATCATTTAAGGACCGAGGTGTGAACTGAAAATGTGTAGAGCGCATTGAGAAACACCCCAATAGGGCTACCTGATACGCCTTTGCGCGCTTCTCTTTATTAACCTAAAAAGAGTGCACGCGAAAAAAAAAAAAAAAAAAAAAAAAAAACAAACACTTGCGTTACCCGTAAGGTGAAACACTCCGCGCGCCTAAGTTTGAAATCCAGGGAACAAGGAAACTGCACGCGCATGAACCGTTCCCCGTCGTTGGTGGGACTGTCTGGACGTCTTACGCAATGACTAACACCGCCTTGTGGTCACTGAAGAACAGTTCCTAAAACCCCAGCTTATTCGTTTCATCGCCCGAGAACATTTTTGGCTTTTCTCTTGTTTCCATTATCAGCAGTCTCATGTTTATGTTTCTACGTGCCGTCATGGTGTCTCATGACGACGTATTTTCACGTGATGTCGTAATGTCACGTGACTCATAATGTCACCTGACGTCATTAAGTTGCGTGACGTCACTGTGCAACGTGACTTGAGATGAAAGTGTCACGTCATGGTGTCAGCTGACGCCAGGTCACAGGTGACGTGATGCGCGGCGTGACTCCAGAGTCGTGTCGAGCGGCGTGACGCCAATGTGAAATCCTTTGGCGGAGTGCCGAAAATAGCCCGCGTCGATACGGAGTGCGGTCGACGGCGCGCTATCGTAATCGGCGCGCTGCGCTATCGTAATTAAAAGATCACGTGACAACGCGCCCGCGCGTCGTCGCGCTTGCAGCGTTCTGCTCGCGCTAATCTTCGGGGACTACCCCAACACGAAGCCCTGCCTTGGACAGCGCTCCGGTGATAAGATGGACTTCGTTCCTTCAGAGCACGTCTGAGAGCGCAGAGCGCTCCGTTTTTGTGTAAAGTTTTGGTGCAAGTTATCTGGAACACCCTGCATATATATATATATATATATATGCTAATTTGAAGTGGCAATGAAATAAATGACATTTTGTTGAATCACCCGAGACTGATGAAGTGGAAGCTCCTCCCACCCCTTTCCACTTCAGCGGAGCGAACTGTGGAGAGGAGGTCGCCTCCTTTCCAGCGTTCGCTCTACTAAAGTGGAAAGAGGTGGTAGGAGCTTCCACTTCGTAGAAACCTAGGAAGCATCAACCGTAGAAAAGAAAGGAGAAAAAAAAAAAAAAGGTGACAGGAAGACAAAGTTTTGAAACCTTGTTCTGTCACCTTTGTAGAACCAGATGTCGCGTACTTTTTTTCGATCCTCGAGGTTTGACTAAAGTCCCTAGGTAAGAGCTTCCTACAAGTAGCGACATTCTTTGAAGCACCAACTGCGTGATGGTGCAGGTTTTAGGAAGCGAATGGCGGCGCACGTAGCAGAGGTTTGAACTAAACGCCGCCATTTTGTTCCAGGGGAATGTGCTTTGTCATTTGTATTGGTTCTCGTTACTTGTAAATGAAGTATCAAGGGACTTTAGGTTCGACCGTTTCGGCGAACCGTTAACCTTTTGTCAAAATTCGACAAAAATCAATTTTTATCGTTTGTTTTTTCTTATTTTTATTCGAGCATGCACAATAGCATAATCGCATAATAATCTAACTTCTGTCGAAGTTCTGACGAGTTTTACGTTCGAAGCACTTCAAGTTCGAAAAAAAAACACAAAAAAACGCACCGGGTCGAACTCTAACGTGACCTCGACCGTGAAACAGCCGTGACGTGGTGATGCCGCATTTTACGAAAAAGGGGGAGGGAGATGGCGGCGCTCCAGCCCCCTTCACGGTACATGACGTAGTCCATGTCGCGTAACAGCACAAATCCTGTTTGTCTTCAGGAAAAGGCGGTCATGAAATTTCCTTTTAGATCGCATGATTGGGGCGCCCCGCCGCAGGTTAGCACGGAGTGGAGGAAATTCCTTTCGCCACTTCGACAGGAAAACATTCCGAAAGTGCGTCAGAGCTCAAAGGGGTTGGGGGAAGGAAGTACAAAGCCATGCTCGAGGGAAATACTCGAAGGGCTCGACTGGGACGAATAGGAAGGGCACTGGCGTAGTTTCTGAACAACGCCGGCAAACAACCATTTGGAGGTTACTGCACAACAAGCCCAAAACAAGCATTAGGAGTGTGCGACATAGTTCTACATATGTACAAAAAAAAAAAAAATGTAATGATAAATTTGCTAAGAAACACGTAGTTCAAAACAAAGCAAATAGCTGTAATGGCGGATGAACTCCGGGAGAAAAAACGCAATGCTTGGAATTATAAGCACGAGCAAGGAACTGTATTGAGAGCACCGAACTACACGCAGTCCCCCCAAAAAAATTTAGCAATAAACTGTTTTGAGAGCACCCAACTACAGGGAGTCCCCCCCAAAAAAATTACGTTTTTTTTTTTTCTTACAAAAAAAACTTATGCATTGCCGAACGCTCATTAATCTCCGCCCAAATGCAGCGCTAGCGTACCGAACCAGACGCTAAAGTTTCGGAACCACTATTTAATTAAAAAGTGATTTATGCAATTTTCAATGGGAAGGTGGCGTTCCAAAACAGTGCCCATTTTCTCATTGAAATTCTCAGAAAATTATACCTTTTGAATAAGATAATGGCAAGTTTTGAAAATTTGGCATCTGTTTCGGACTGCTGCGCCACACTTGGGCGAAGGCCAAGCATTCAGTGATTAGTCAATTAATTTTGTGGTGAAAATAACCTTGTAAAATTTTTGGGGCAACGTGCTGTACAGTTGCCTAAACAAACTAGCAACAAACGGATATCCCAACTAATGGTTACAAACCAGAAGCATTCCCCCCCCCCCCCCCCCCTTTTTTTTTTCCACATAAATATAACATCGCAACTGTTCCAGACTGTGAACTTGAGGTCTTTGGGAGCGAATGGAGCAGCAAGTGCTGCGTCGTCAAAGTCACAAAGAAAAAAGGTGTGGATGAGATCGATACATTGATGATTGGCAGCGGGAAGGGGCACAATAAAAACAAATAAGGAAAGATAAAAAAAAAAATAAAAAAAAATTATGCCCATTTTCCACCAACATGCCATTCTACTTGTCGGTTGATTGTGCCCGACAAAGAATGTTTTGCAACGATTGATTTTTCACTTTTTTTTTTTTTTTTGAAGTGAACTATGTCCGCCTGCTCTGTATGCTCTACAAGGTACCATTGCCTTGGAGAGCCAATACATGATTTGTGGAGCACTGTCAGCATAAAGTCAACAGACGACGACACACGCTCATGTTGTCTGCACGCCCTTATTCAGGTCCTCAATTGCTCTATTCCAACTGTGTCATCAACAAAGAGGAAGGGTATTTGGGATTCCACATTTCACCAATCACATTTGAAATAACCCACTTTTTTAAATTTTTTTTTTAGTGTACAGCTTGCACGTAGGTTATGCAAGTTCACAAATGGTTGAATACATTGCAGGGTCCTTCAAGATGGTGAAAGTTAAAACTAAAAAAAAAAAGACTTGCCCTTTCATGCACCAACGTACAAAAAAAACAAAAAAACATTTATTTCATTGAATTTGGGATGTGAAGGAACATGAGGTGACATCTTCTGAATTTGGCCCTTGCCTACTATGCCTTTTTTCTTCAATCTTCTTGCAGTATTTCCACAACCGAAAGCTGCACAATTGCACGTGTTGTCACACAAGCACCATAGAGGGCATGTGGCAAGTCACTTGTCGAGTGAACGCATAGTAGCACATTGCTTGACCGACCAACTGCTGTCGATGCCGGGCAAATGAGTTTCCAAGCAAACTTATCTGCCCAAAGGAACAATGCCACCCGAGGATAGCTTCTATTGAATGAGAAATGATGTTCCTGGGTACCCTTCTGCACCAGTGTTTACACAAATAAAACGAGCTCTCTCAAACTAGGTTTGCAGCAGTCAAGGAGCAAAATAGTGGTCTCCTTCTGGGCTTTATAAAAGTTGATATTGGTGCATTTGGTTGCTCCCACTGCAAGTGTGTTTGTTTTTCTTACAAAAAGTTCCAGCAATGATGCGTGTCCTTATGAATCCATAACTACATACATTAGAGGTAAAGTTTCTTTTCTAATTCTCAAAATGAAAAAAAATAAATCTAGAGGAAGCATTGACGGACCCACAAGTGAAGACCATTTGATCGGCATGATGGCACTGCTCACAAAACTTTTAATGCTTATAAAAAGAGAAGCACATATGCACTAATCGTATCGCAAAGTTTCAGAATAGCATCAGGCGTATAATGCTTTTGTTTTTCCCAGAATGAAAGTATGGCTCCTGCAGACGATAATTTTTGTTCTACTTCAATTTGAACCTGATATGAGAAGATGGTAGCTGCAATGTTGCTGGAAAAGTGAGATAATACATTTAGATAAAGCAGTAAATGAGCATGATGTTGCAAACAATATCTGAACATCATTAGGTACCAAATGAATGAGACTATGGGCAAACAAAACTTGGTACCAATTGGGTACACATACATACCTTCGCACTCACAGCAAAGACACTGTATATAAAAGTAGAGTCGCTGCATGTGGTTCGAAAGTTCCTTTGCAGGAAAAAATGTTCCCTATGACAAAACAAGAGAAATTTCACCGGTGGTCTTGCAAGGCCATTGGGCGCTTGCATGCACCAACCAGTTCGTGATTTCCCCCATCACAGCAGCCACTTCCTACTTGCACAAGTTTGGGGCCGCACGTGGAGCGTGCCCTACAGTGCTACATATCCCCAGAGTTTAAAGAAATCCCTGCCCAGGTTTCAATGAGCCCGCGTCGTCATTCCTAAAAGAAATGCCATAGTGAAAAATGCTCCCGCGCTGCCGATCCTTGCAGGACTGGCTCTGCAATGTAGACAGAGGGAGTTGCCCCGACGAGGACAAATGTGGGCTCCAGCAGGAGGCCGTGGCAGCGGGGATGAGTGCGTGGGGGCTCATGCCGGCCACCGGTCCCAGGCAAGAGGGTGGACCGGGTGTGTCAGGGAATGCGTGAGGCCGGCAGTGGGCTAGCTGCAGGACCGCATGAGCTCGAGCAGGCAGCCGACAGCACCAAAGTAGCCCTGTAAAGAGACCGGGTCAGAGGGCACACGGGGCCAGGCAGCAGACTCACCTCATGCTCGAGGAAGAGTGCCTTGAGCGTCCCCTTGGACCAGAACTGCATGGCGTAAGCAAGCATGCGCATCGAGATGGGGTTCACCCGGAGGAAGTTGCCCACAAAGACCACCCGCGAGATGCCCTCGTTGATGGCACACATGCGGGCGATGGAGCCGATGTTGTTGGTGATGGTCACCAGGGTGGCGCGGGCCAGGTCCTCGCGCGTCGCCGCCTCCCGGCGCGTCCGACAGTTCATATTCCCAAAGCTACTGGCCACCGTGTCGGCCCGTAGGTCGAAGCGGGGGTAGTCTCCGCCGTAGATGTCGCGCACCAGCTTGTCCACGTGCGTGCTGTCCCCCCGCTGAGCCAGGTCAATGGCCTCCTCGAAAGTCTCGCAGCCCGTGAGTAGGCAGCAGAGGCCCAGGAAGGTGCCACCCCCCAGGCTGGTGCCCGTGACCCGGTGGTACTGAGTGGGCGAGTGCACTGCCAGGATGCTCACGCCCGAGCCAATGTTCACCACCAGATAAGGGTATGGGCTGCTGAAGTCGTACGGCATCTTGACGCAGCGCTCCATGGGGCTGCTGTAATAGTAGCACTCACGGCTGTTGTGTGCCTCCATGTAGTGGATGCCCCGGATGAGCGAGTCCATCTCGTCAAACTTGTGCAGGCCCAGTCCCACCTGGGAGCGGAAGTCGCGCTCAAACTTGTGGGCCCCGCCGCCCGTGGCACACACTGTCGAGGCCAGGCTGGCAATGCCCTTGGCCTTGGCCAGCTCGAGGAAGCGTGGCATCTCGCTCGTTGGGAAGCGGATGAAGTGCAGCGTGCCCTCGATGCCCCCTACCACCACACTGTCCATCTGGAGGTGCACGTCCCGTTTGCCTGTCTGGCCGTATGCTGCATTCTTCTTCAGGTAGTGCTTGATCTTCTCCAGAGCCTCCGTGGCAGCCGCGTCATCCTCAACCGCCGGCTCGAAGTACACCAGCTTCACCAGGGTGCCACCAATGTCCATCCCGAACCAGGGCATAGCTGCGGGGAGAGAGATAAACTGGAGCCTCGCTCAGGAAGCAGCGTCACGGGCGCACTCACGTGGCTGGGGCGAGGGCGCCCGCACCGTGGCTTCCACGTCCCCGTTTATGTTCGCCATGGCTGTACTCCTCCCATCCGAAGTGAGTCCAGTCCTCCGAGCGGCTGCTGACCAGCCCCTGGAAGCAAACTCTTTGCCTTACTCCTACAGTAGTCCAGCCGCGCCTGCGGCCATCTCGCGCCGGCCGACCCGGTAGCCTGATGGAAAAGAGCTTTCACTCAGGAGCACCACTTGGACGACAAAGCAGCCAAAGGTCTCCAGCGCGCCCCTACCGACGCGATGCACAAAATGAGAGAGCGCGGCCGACGCGGCCCCGAAGGCAAGTCGCGCTCACCAACAGCTGGCCATTTCAGAGAATGGAAGCTAAGCTTACCGCAGACTCATTGCGCACTAAACAACGGACGAGCTCGTAGTGCGCACGACGACCTCCTCCGAAGGCGCAAGTTGTAATCGTCTCGCGGCTTGGGGTGAGGAGCGTCAAACGCTCGGTACAAGTTACCGGAGTCGACAAGTTTCCCGCACAAGCCGTGCGTCGAGAAGGCGGACGGGTGACTGGCCACGTGCCCTGCTCAAGGCTGCCGTTGTGTAACCAATGTTCCCTCAAGGTTTTCCTCGTGTCGCACGCAGCGAGAAAATTGTGCCTTCCTTGAGACGCCAACCTCCTGTTCGAAGGCGTAAACGACGCTGGCAGCGGACAGCCAGGACAGCCACTTGCCCGCTCGCGTTACACCCCAATTGCGGCTTTCGAGCGATAAGGACATCGCGCTCGGCCTTCGGAACCTTCGGACCTCGGTTTCCGAATGATCGAAACGGCACCCATTGCGAAGGGAAACCCATTTTCTGTGTCAAAACTTCCTCGAGAGAACAACGTGAGCGGCTAGATTAATTTCTACGATATGGAGTGCTTTAGTCAACGTTTGCATCGGTTCTCGAGGACGACAAGGCATGATGCTCAAAATGCACAGCGCGTCTGTTGTTCTCACAACAGACTGCCAGTGAAATCGATTCGGACTGACACTTCAGACACCACTCACCAGCTACCAGACGACAAAAGTTAGGCCACCATTTTTTCATGCCCCGCACCCGCTCAGAATGTAAACAAAGACAACGGAAAAAAAATATTACCTTAAACTAAGTAAGATTCTACGATTTGTTTAATCTTATTTTCATTTAACATATGGAAGTACATGTGATAATACAGGATAACCACGTTTTGTATCCATGAAATAAAATTAGGTGCATTCCTCGCATATGTCACACTGCGAATAGACCGCGAATGCGGCCACCAGAAATTTCGGATCGGCCATCTTACCACATCGCAAACTTGGGCGCATGAAGCGTAGTAGAGGCTGGGCGCTTGCGTTCCGAAGTGCACGTTTTCGGCTCGATCACCGTTGTTCGTTAAGACTTCTTTTCCTCTTATTTTAACCTAAAGTGAAACTGAAGCGGTTCTATATTTGAATAAAACCATTTAATCGTCTTCATTCGGCCTTCAGGATCACGAATATCGAGATTATTTTTCAATTTGGTGCATGGAAAGGCTCCAGAAAATAATTTTCAAAGTATCGCTGAAGCCCCTCCTTCCCGAAGCCTTATGCCATAGAAGGAGTTTTCGGAACCTCCGCTCTCGCGCATCTTCAGAGCCTATCAGCACGCGCACTCTTGCCATTTAATCAGAAAGAGACGTCACGACTGGTATCAGTGTGAGGTTATATACCTGTCAAGCTTATGTAACGATTGGTCAGAGTAAAGTGGCCCCAGGCAACACAAAACGTCCTTTTTTTTTTTTTTTTTTTGCCCGATCCCCCGGAGGTTATCTTGGTGATATCGAACACTGCCTGGTGATAGTTAGGGGGAGAAAATTGATCTTAGAAGGGCGGGAGAAATCATGTTTTTTGTCTGTCAGTCAGATGTACCAAAACCCTTTTAAAACACGGCGGGCGCTCCTAGCGCCACTGTATATGCCACTGATCTGTTTATGCCCCCATACAGTGGCGCTAGGCGCTCCTAGGAGGAGTGCCTCTAGTACCGTAAATAGACTTAGGCTAGGTGACGCAAGCTACCGCCCGTTACAAAGAGAATAGCCGTTATGTTCCATTGATTCATCAAGCTGCAGCCAAAATCAAGCCATTGGCAAACCCGAAGGCCGGATAATGCTTTTCCCGCGCTAAACAGCTCGTGTTCTCCGTGTTCGTAGTTGTTTTTTATTTATTTATTTATTTTTTTTTTTTGGGGGGGGGGGGGGGGGGGGGGGGGGGGGGGGGCGGGGCGGGGCGGGCGGGGGCGGGGGGCGCAGTCAGGGCAGTTTTTTTTTTTCTTCTCAGATTTAAGTGATTTAAGCATTTAAGTCCGCCGCGCATGTGTTCTTGTGTGTTCCTTTTCAATCGGTGGGGATGGCGTCGGAAGCGGCAGATGACTCGGAACGTGGTAAGCGGGGCCGCCGGATTAGGGAATTTTGGGGCCCTAGCTGTTCATATGGCGATGGTTGTGAACGACAATGAACAATAACCACCTCATGAAATGCAAATATCGTTCATTTTATGATACATCTAAGAGGGTTTCTGTATCGGTAGATTCGATGTTTGTATCTACCGATGCAGAAACTCTGGTTTTACTTCGGGAAATTCGGGTTTCACTGGGTGGAAATGAAGCAGGTGCGATTGTGGATTAGAGGTTGTTTCGGAAAAGTAAATCGCTCATTAAGAGGTGCAAAACACAAACCAATGAACGATTGGAGAAAATGGTAAGAAGTGTCGCGCACATTGAGCAGGGCCTCGTAAACTTCTGTTGAAAATTGGAAATGAAGACCCCGCATTCCCATGAGCTTAATTGTTTGACCGGGTCTACAACGCAAAAATCAAGATCGTGACGGATCCTGTGGCAACTTTTGTCGAAAATGCCTTTAACTGGTCACATTGTTGTGCTAAAATTTCAAGTCGAAACTCCGAGTACAAAGAAAATAAGAAAACAACAGATATTTTCAACGGCGGAGCGGCAGCTGTCGAATCCCGGACCAAACCTCACCCATTTTTCCACAGACCCGGACAAAAGCTCACCAGGAGACAATTTCATGTTGGTCATAACACGTGTGCGGACAATTTAGGTGCATGCGTGCGACACTAAAATGCAACGATAAATTAAATCTGACAGGCGCATGGTTTGTTGATTATAGATTGGAAACAAGTTTATTTATCGATTGATTAGTGGCAAATGCAGTCCCCCACTAGCTCCAGCGGTCTTGGTAGATCTGGGTGTACCTGTTATCCCTCGAAAATATTTTTCACACGATTCCGCAGGCACAGAGTGGTTTTTCGCACCCGCTTTTCTGGGGGTTCACCTCTGCGAGCTTGTGTCGATGCCGTGGCAACGAACGCCTGATTTTCCTGTGGACATTCAATCAGCATCCAGACGCTTGGATGGGTGGCTGACAAACTTCTGGTTCCATCCTTCGCAGGTGTATGTCCGGTCTTTATATTGAAGAGTGGCATCGCACATATTCCACCGTTCCGGGGAAAACTCCGGTCGTTGTCGGCACACAGTCAGGCAAAGGAAAGAATTCGCTCAGGGTGCCTCCGCAGAAGGAGCAGAAGCATAACGGAAGGGGCCATTGACTTACGTGCAATCAAAGTAGTCCAGCAGGTCACCGATGTCACCGGTAGACTTTTCCTTGATGTAGGTTAGTCCTTCGGGCACAAGCTGTGGTGGAAGGAACGCGAGCCTATCCAAAATCTGCTTTCTAAATTGGTCATCTGTCCAAGAGGCCACACTCCCGTTCCTTGAAAGTATTTCTAAAGCTTCGCGACTTAATTGTTTGTATATTATAGTTTTGCTTCAGTTTCGTTTTCACAACACCCTGAGATAATCCTTGATTTCAAATGCATTTACGACGCTCAATTACGGAATGAATTTAATTTTCCTAGCCATTAACTTCAAATATTAATCTGAACCCCAAGAAAACCCATGCATTACTAATGAAGATACATTGCGCCTAACCTTTATGTGTGCGTTTAGCGTGACATAAGCACAATGAAAACGCGAGGTCACCGAGGGGTGACTTCGCTTCGTCGGTCACTCTTCGGGTTCAAATTTCACTTCGGTTCACAAAGTTTCTTGGGCGTGGCACAAGGGTGCTCCGGTATATCTTGAGTCAACCAAGCTTGATCTTATCAGCTCCTCTCAGTTTCAGTGACCTAAATTTTGGTCCCAAATCGTTGCTTTTCTGCTTGTTATGGCTAATCTGTCGACACCTTTGCATGGGATGACACTTCTCCTAAAAATAGTGCAATGTCCATCGCGTCCATAGTTTATCCCAGCCCGCGTTTCGCCCGGGGTAGCAAAACAAATATATTAAGTGAGCTTTTGTCTGGGTCTGGAAAAAAACGGGTGAGCTTCTGTCCGGTGAGCTTTCGTCCGGTGAGCTTTTGTCCGGTTACCGCAGCTGTCGGGGAGACACCGAACAATGGCCATGTTTCTTTACCTTATCCAGAGATGGCGCTAAGGATTCACTGGACGCTGACTGAATGAAAAAGTGCGCCTTTATCCAAATTTCTGGTTGTGTGGGATATTTGCCAAAATAAAGTTGTTTGGGTTTTCAGTTAAGTTTCACTGTGCAGAAAGTGTCACACCATAAATATGAATAAATAAAACCGCCAATGGGTCTGCTTCAGAAACGACAAACCTTCGTCTGCGACGGTTCTTGTTTCGTGCATCGTTTGCTTTTGCAGTTTGACGTTCGTGCTCTTGCCTCAGTGCGTTAACTTCATTTGTTATCACTGTTTCTTTCTTTTTGTTCAACGCCTCACCATGCAACAACTGAGCTCCAAGGAGAGGTTTCAGGTGGTTCTCTAGTACACAACAATTGGAACCTTCAAGCAAGTTCGAACAAAGTGCCGGGCTGCCTTCAACAGAAGACCACCCTCTCGGCCAACCATCATCAAGTGGGTGACAAGGTTTGCCCAGGACAAGAACATGACAAACAAGTCTCCTAACCGCGTAGAAACGTCGCCGAAACGAAGACAGCATCCAGCCGTTCTTGACGCTTTCGATGCGCAGTCCCACCTTTTGATCAGGCGTGCTGCTCGTCAGCTCAGCCTAAGCCGGGGCTTCGTGTGGTGAGTGCTTTGCCGGTGAATGTACCCGTTCAATGCGCAGCTCCTGCACGAACTGAAGCCGGAGGACTGCGCACGGCTAGTGCAGTTTTGTGAGGATGAGCTGGCACGGATTCAGGCCCACCCCAACCACCTGCAATTCCTCTTGTTTACAGACGAGTCAGTTTTTCATCTCGACGGCCGCATCAACAAGCGGAGCTGCAGGTTGTGGTCTGGCACAAACCTGCACTGGTCGACCGAACACGCTGTTCAGTCTCCGAAAGTCGTCGTGTGGTGTGGCATATGGCGAGAGGGTGTCGTCGGCCCGTTCTTTTTCTTTTTCGATTTGACGGTGACCGGCGGCACATACCTCAAGATACTGGAGGAACAGATTTTGCCAGAGCTGGAAACTGCACATATGCAACGTGAAGTTTGCATAGTCCAACAGGATGGGGCCCCTCCCACAATGCAAGCATTGTGAGAGCCTGGCTCAACAACAAGTTTTCCGGGAGATGGATGGGCCACGGCTCTCCGAACATGGCTTGGCCTCCTCAGTCTCCAGACCTCACCCCTTGCGTTTTTTTTGTCTAGGGGTACGTAAAGGCCCAAGTGTACACCCGGCGATCGAGGACCATCTCGCAGCTGAAAGAACACATCATCGACGCGTTCGAGACCATCAGTGATGATGTGCGGGAGGCCATCTTCCAGGACTGCGAGAGGAGGCTGGTAAAATGCATCGAAGTTCGCGGCGGGCACGTCGAGCTGGGAGTCTAACCGTTTTTTTTTTTGTTGTTGTGAGTGTATGTGCATGTGAATGAAGCATTTGACCGCTACTACAAAGACCGCAGTTCAGATTTTCTTTAGACGTATTACTCTAAGCGAAGAATAATAGGTCATACCTCAGAGGGTCGTATAAAGATTGCAGCGATGATATCGCTCGATGGCATCGCTCGATGGCAGGAAAAGTGTTGTCTTGTACTGGCAGACCAGACACAGGTTCCAGAGCAGTTGCTTGCAGTCACTGCCTTTCTAGAACATTTGGCAGACATCTTGAAACACCTGTTAGTGGTAAGAAAGGATGGCTTCAGGAGGTTCACCGATATTTCTTTTTGCTCGTTTTAAACTTGTCGTTTTGGAGAAAACTTTTCATATGGAACTACGCTAAAAGACCAAAATTGAACAAAACAATGTGTAGCATGCATGTTGCTCTTGTAGCCTTCGGCAAAACTTGATTGCCTCCCAACCCACCATCGTCCTTAAAACGCGTAGAGGGCGCCCCAGTACAATAGAGAATTCCGTGGTCGTCCTTTCGTCTGTGGCTTCAATTAGAAGACTTCAACGGGACTGCCAGCGTTGACAGCTTTGCACCCTCCCACAAGGAGGGTGGGAGGCAACGCTAACATTTTGTTGCTCTATCACAGTCTTTTACAACGAGCTTACAAACGCCAGCTCGTCTAGAGAAGAGAACTTTATGGCATCCCTGTTTCACCGTTCAAATTAAAAAAAAAAAAAATACCCTTAGAATGGAGCTGATTTAAAGGGAAGCTACGGAGCTTCTTGGAAAAAAATGAGTTAGAAGTGAATTCTAGTGTATTTTTACCCCGTGAACCCAAATACCGAAACCATTTGCTGCGTAAGTATTGTTAAACGCGAGAAAAACGCGAAAGACAGTCGCTGTCCGTGACGTCATCGACGGATCTTTTGGCTGCCTAAGGCTAGGGGGGCGGGTCTTCAGCCCTATCTTGAAATTGCTCTTGTGGCTCTCCGGCGCGTCGCATTGAAATACAATTTTGATATCTGTTATTCTAAAGGCCAAATGAACGCAATTCATGCGTTTTTTCTCAAATGTAGAAGTGCCCCATCTTCCCTTTAAACAAAGGCCTTTTTATTTTTTTTATTTCAAATTTTCAGGGGCCAGCCAGGGCCCCTCTGGCAGCCTGGGTCCTTGGGCTACAGCCCCCTTAGCCCGTGCATTAATCCTGCCCTGGTGGTAAGTGTTCTCTTTCTCGCACTGCTAATATGTCACCATTCACATAGGGCTCAATGATCTCGGCAAGTGCAGAGCGCCGATTTCGGTGCAAGATGATCCGGCACGTAAATGAGTGTATCGAGCTAAGTTTACCCAGAAATGCAATTTGTTCCACTGCTCTTGAAGATCAACGCCCGTCTCTAGGAGCAACGGTGTCTTCTTCATGCGATAGCACTCGACAGGACCATTTGATTGCAAACGCAAGTTCGCTGCAAGACTCCATCCTTGGCTGCCAATCACGGTCAGTAGTTTGAGATGATCAGCTTACTGAGGACGTCAGTGGTTCTTATGACCGCCACGAAAGTATGCATGTGCATAACGATGTCGCACCGAGCGAAGAACTGTCGAACATTGAAGACCACGTGTTGCCTTTCCGCAGGCAACTGCAAAGGTGGGCGGTCAAATCGGGCAGCTCTCACAGTGCAGTGTCCAAGCTTTTGATCCTGTTGCGCACTCATTCATGCTTTTTTTCTCTGCCTCGATCAGCGAGAGCGTTGCTCGAGATGCCTAGAAAGGCCTTGGGAATCGAGCATATTGGTGGTGGAGAATACTGCCACTTAGGTATCGTACAAGGTGTTCTAGATGCTGTGGGAGAGTCGAGGCATCTGCCCCAGGAGCTTGCTCTTGATTTCCGTATCGACGGGCTTCCAAATGCAAAAACCTATAGAACCAAATTTTGGACAATCCTCGGGAAAGTGAAAAACCTGAAAAATCACGTTCCTTTCGTTGGTGTCTTTCGTGGTGACAGAAAGCCCAATGATGCTAATGAGTTCCCTTGTCATTTTGTGGATGAACTGAGAGAGGTTATTACCTCAGGCATCAGTCTTGGTGCAGAAAATATTCCTGTCAGGCTTACTGCACTTATTTGTGATGCACCAGCATAGGCATTCATCCTCAACATCAGGAGCCACACTGGGTGCTACAGTTGTACTGAATGCACCCTGAAGGGAATCTACATTGAAGGCAGAGTGTGCTTTCCTGACATCAGCAGGAGTCTGCGGACCAACACCACCTTCCGCACCCAGTTTCAAGAATAACATATTTGCGAGACCATTTTTGAGGAGCTACCAATAGATGTGATCAAAGATGTACCGCTGGGCTATATGCATCTCATATGCTTAGGAGTTATACACAAGCTACTTACTTTGTGGATTCATGGCCCAAAGGGGATCAAACAAGGAACGTACGTTCGGGATGAGATAGCGAGGCTGATGACGCTTGCCTGGTGTGTCAACATCTGACTTTAACTGAAAGTCAAGAAGTCTGGTTGGTGTCGATAGTTGGAAAGCAATGGAGTTCCAGTTTTTTGTGATTTTAGGCGGACCACTGGTGTTGTCCTGCATTATACCACAAGAGGTATATGAAAACTTCTTATGTCTTCCGTGGCAGTCAGCATCCTTACGTCGCCAAGCTCTTCACCAGGCGAATTGGATTATGCCAAGGAACTTCCGAAGTTTTTCTAATTGGAAGCTTTGGAGAAATATATGGACAACACTATGTATCACACAATGCTCATGCACTCTGCCACCTTGCTGCAGACACTCGTCACCTAGGACCACTTGATTTGTGAAGTGCTTTTCCTTTTGAAAGTTATATGGCTACCATCAAGAAGCTGCTGCAAAAGCCACAGTTTCCCTTGGAGCAGTTCTCGAACCGACGTGCTGAGAAAAAATATTTTTGCAGCAGGGAAGATGTTGCTGTAGGAAGTAGCCCTTTGCTCACTGATGAACATCATCGTGGACCCTTGTGCCTCAGTGCCAGGGAACACAGTATAAAATAATTGTTCTTCAGAAGGCATTATTCTTGGCACAGGAAGGAGAAATAACTGCTGCAAGCTCTTTGATGGGAGCATAGTTGTTGAAAACATGGTTAATCTTGCACAGGGTGTGCCAAGCATGACCGGAAGGAAAGTTTTGAAACGAGATGACCTGTATGCTGTACCTTGCCACTCATCGCTGCTAGGAATTTTTTGGTGAGCCAGCTATCCACTCTACGGTCCTGGCCTCTGAGTTAGATATCTGAAAAATGCTTGAAGGTTCCGTGGAAAAACAAGTTTGCTATTTTCCCTCTCATGCACTTGAAGGGGTGAATCTGTGAACAGGTTGTGTAGATACTCGGCCATATGCTATATACAATCTTTTCTCTTAAGCTAAGAAGTTTGTCCTCGTCAAGTTTCTTGAAGACGACGACAGTGTGGCTATTATCCACGCCAACTGGATTGATGGGAATGCAGTGAAGCCGAACTTTAGTCCCCTTTTTTTTTGCAGTGATGTTCAAAGATTTTTCATATAATAAATTTTTGGCGTTTGTTTTTGGCCGTTGTATTGCATATTAAAATTAAAGGGCACGAAAAAAAAAATCAGTATTTTCAAATCGTTTTTTTTTTTTCTTTCAAAATTTTTGCAGTAGGCAAAGGCTAGGTGGCGCAGGCTACCGCCCGTTACAAAGGGTATAGCCATTAACATCCATCCATCCATAAAAATACATCCAGACACTGTTTTTCCTCATCTTATTCGTAGGGAGTAATGTGTCCACTCGCCTGCTTCCTGGAGCATTCGCCTGCAATAGTTGCGGGATATGGTACTCCTCGCACCCGTGTATCCCGCATGTGATTTCTTATCATCTGTGGTCCGTGATTACATTTTATAGAGTTCTAACTCCGACAGTGAGAGAATGGGTTGTTACGACGGCGCAACAAATGGAGCTCCGAGAAGCAGCGCGTGTACGGATCACTCTGTGCGTGAAACCACCACTGGCGATTGGCTGATGAGCGCCGTTCGTCATTCGGCAACGGTTGGGGTTCTGCGATATATGGCAAAAAAAAAAATGCTTGATTGGGTTTTTAACTAGGGAAATGGATGGTGCGGGATAGTAATTTGTTTATTTTTAGGATGCTTAGGCCCGTAGAATGAGTTATGACGAGAAACAGATGGTCTCAGAAATTTCTTTACTGTCTTTTTAAAAAGGTTTTACACAGCATATTACTGTCATGGGCGTGAAAATCTGTATTTATACAGGCGGCCACCTAACCACAGACCACTTCCCACTTTTCACAATGTCAATCAAGATATCTAGCTTCTTTCAAGCACTTTACCATTGCCAATTTATTGAGTATAGATTTAGTTATGATGTCAGCATTCTTAATTATTCCCTCACAGAATTGACTATTTCTGTGTAGGGAACATGAATTTTTCCGGCTCCATATCACAAGAGCGAATGACATTTTAGCGAACAGCGACATTTGATCGAATGGACGTTTTAGCGAATAACGGGGGCGTGCGTTAACCCATCCGTCGCGCTGCGCTTTACGCCGCTTCGCGGCGACAGTCTGCGGCTGCTCATTACAAAAATATGAACCCATTTGGCCCACCCGAAAACGCCGCTTTGCGGCATCCGACTATTCGCTAAAGTGTCATTCGGTGAAACGTGGGCGTTCGCTAAAACGTCATTCGATCAAGTGAGTGCCTCCCAATTTTTCCCATCACATCTGGAATATTCCTAGTATGGTTTGTTGTGAATATGAAAGTAGAAATTTAAGGTACCCACTGTTGATAGCCTATCCAAGAGAGTTAATATAGAACTTCTCATCAGCATCCAATAGTTTAGCTAGTGCAAATTGTGAGACAGGCATTCTTGGTTTTCTTCAGACACTTAAGAAGCATGAAAAAAGCTGTGTCATGCAGAGGACATGTTGGGCCTTGAGAGTGAGATTGATCTTGGCTAAGGAAGAAGGAAAAAAAAGACAACAGAGAGCACTAAGTTCCAGCCCAGAAGCTGTAATGAGACCGTCGTTGCCGCCACACTTCATGATCAAAAGTATGCTTTCTGTTTCTACTAAACGTTTTGTATCAGGCCTGCAGCATCTGATGCTGAATTAAATTTTTTTCTAGGGAACTAGGCATAGTTTTTGCTTGACGTTTGGGATCAGGAACTTGGCTGTTAAACAACTTGATCAATTTGTAAACAGATCATCTTGACAAGGGCACAGATGCTGATAAATTTATTGCTTTTGTTTTTCATTCCTCCACATCTACAGAAGCAGCTGGGAGACGTAGATGATCACTACCACATTCGTTGGCAAGCTCCCAACCTTCAACACCTTCAGTATCTGTGGCACATGATGAAAGTAAGAATTTTGAGTTTCTGTGAAATACATTCTTACTTGAAAATGAGCATAGGAGATGTTAAAGGGGCAGTGCAACGATTTTCAGACTTTGGCCAATTAACTGCGGAAATTAATCTGCGTCACCTATGGAACGAAAAACCGAAAGCCGCATTTTCTTGCGAGCGCTAGTTCTTATTTAAAAAAAAAAAATGAAACAAATGGAAGGTCGAAGTGCCTCTTAACTCTCCACGCCGACTTTCGAGTGACGTCTCTGGGGATTCACGTGGTTTCCCCTTGGGCCCTCTCTTCAGAGACCCCAGCCGCTTCCTCCGCGATTGTCGACTTTCAAAGGATTAGCCTCATCGAAGGTCGCGGCGAGCGATGGACACAAAGGACGGTTCGCCACGGGGCTGACGGCGAGTATAGCAGCGGAGGGGGACAGGGTTTGTTGACTTCCGCGTATCCCCCAGAGACGCCATCATTTTAGTTCCCGTAGCCGCCACCGGCGGCTGCAGATCGGCAAATAATTTGTTTTTTGCCTTGCAATTGCGCAGCAGAATAGCTGTTTTTTGGGGAAAGGTGACGCATTTTTGGTCACTTGGGCTTGTATAAACAATATAAAAAATGCAAACTGGAAATTCTTTCAACATTAAAATCGTTGCACTGCCCCTTTAAGGCTGGTTTGGACAGATGTATTTTCTTGTGCTCGACTGTGTTTCGAGAAGACGGTGAGTTGCGATGGCAACAAGTGGAATAACACCTAGTTGCCATGTTAACCATCTTATCTCACTGCAAACCTTCATGACATAATCGAACTGAAGAAAATGCAACTGTCAGAACCAGTCCTGCTCCCAGCATTTTGGCAGGTGTGCTGAGGCTTGCAGGTCTTGTAAACAAGAATATGCATACTAGCGAGTGCTTGGCACACAGCTGTACATCAGTGATTGCCCAGAAGTGTCTAAATAGTGCTTAAACAGTAATATTTTACTTGGGAGTAAGGCCAGTCAGAACTCGTGGAACCCCTGGGAAAACTCTAGGGAACACCTGTGTTCCTAAGAGCCCAGTTTGAGAACCGTACGGTAGCAAATGCCTGACTGCTGATTCCCCTGTTACTGGTCTTGCTGCTGCATGAATCATATGTGACGTTTGGATCCTGCAAATTACGGCTTGATTTACATTTTAGGTGACTTTGATTCTGTATTTTGAATGTACTGAGCTGGTTCACTCTGAATGACACTCCATGCTTTGTTCCAGTATTGTTTTTTTTTCTCCCCTTTTAGCACTGCCAAAGAATGGTGAACGAATTGTACCGCATGGAAAGAATCTGCATTCAACTGCGATTCCGAAGACATGTTTCAACAGGACACGTAAGCTAGGCATTGCCTGTTTCGGGTTTATGTGTCAGGCTTTATAATGCATTCTTTTCGCTCGGAGAGCCAACCTAACCAGAAAAGCTATGAACCACAGCAGCGCACCTCATGGCATTCAAGCAGAGTGCAGCAAAATCCAGCATCTGAGGAACATACACTAACAAGCCCTAGGCCATGTACCAGCAACGCATGTAAGTTTGGCGATCAGCTAGAGATAGTTGGTATATATGACTTATTTGCTCTTTGTATGTTTTGCTGATTGCATCCCTAGATGACTGCGAAATTCGTGAAAGCTCCAGATCAGGTATGCTCTTCAATAGCTAACCTCTCTGTTCGTCCTTTTCTGACCCTTTCTCTCTCTTTTTGTAAACAACCACAAACTTATCAACCACTTGAAATTCAGAAGTGGGCACATTAAATTCAAAATTCACAGTTAATGACAAAACAAACATGTTGGTAATAGAGTTGACTCTTTGAGGAAGGAACTACCGTCTCTTTCTGTTTCCCTTCCTCGAAGTGTGACCTTTGTTTAACTTGCTATATGTTAATATTTGTATATGTTAAGAGGGCTGAATATTTGTTCCATCACTTTTTAAATCAGCATATATTTCACTGTGTGGGTTTTCTGTGTTAAAGAGAATGGTGGAATTTGCCTTGTTCTTGTGCTTACCAAAAAAGACCTGCTCTGGAAAAAGTTGGATTTTTTGCCCAAACTGCATGTCTTAGTGACAACCGACAGCAAGCTTTGCACAGCCTACTTATGCACTTTTACTGCCGCTTCATGCAGTGGGGGGCCAGTGCAGGTGACTAGCTGGTGGTCTCAGGAAACGGCCATATTAAGCCAGTACAATAATACTACATCTAACAGGAGTGCGCTAGAAAAATCTTGCACTTGTTTGTTCTTATCAAAAATATTTTTTTGAAAGGGGCACTAAATGGTTTTTTGAGATTGTCTTTTTATGGTGATAACTCGCTCTATGTGATCTAATTACCCTAAAAATTCAACAATCACAACCATGCACGGCCTACTTCCTTGTTAAAAATGTGATCAAAGTTTGCAACAAAACGGCCAAGGCACTCATCAGCCAATCATATTAACTTTAATATCCCTTTAGTGTTTCTTTAATAAATCCAGGTATGATTTCTGTTTCACTGTGCAGTCACAGGGCAGGATAGCGGTAAGCAAAAATCTTTGGGAAGGGAATCTTGGACTTTTGCCAATGAACAAGAAAGAGTCGATGCCTCACTTATACACGAACTCATCTCTGTTACGTCGCAGCGCGGTGGTGGCGCGTTGGACGCACTTCCGGTTCGGGGCTGTGGGCGGAAGTGCCCATCTGAGACGTGTATTCCTGCGTTGATTTGAAAGGAACCAGACAAAAACCTGCCTTCTTGTCAAAATGCTGCGACTGGGGCTGTACCAAAAGGGTCGAAAAAGGTTTGAAGGTCAGTTTTAATGCGCTCGGTTCGTCCGAGAACGTGGATATGTGCCGTGAAAAGGAAAAACCAGACGCCGTCGGACCATGATTGCTTGGGCGGGAAGCATTTTGGGTTGAATTCACGGACACTTCTGGCCATCAGATTTATTTGTTTTGTTCCAAAATGAACGCCGGAAAACCGTCAAGTTGTACGGACCACCTGCGGACTACGTTCAGTGCGTCTTCAAGTTTGAACGGTTACCTGATCGTTCGAACTGTCGTCTGCTCTTTCAAACGTTTCTGTTTGTCGTCTGCTCTTTTAGAGGACACCGGCCCGTAGACGAAACGTGGGCCCAGTACTTGCGATAAGAAGTAAGTGCAGGCCTCAAAAGACTTAAGTTTGAAGGTTGGTAAGCAGGCTCGACGTAAACATCACTGACTTGTTATGCCTGATTCACTTGGTTAGATTCTGCTTGCGATTTTCAGTATCGACGTCGACCATCTCAGCTACGGTTCACGCTTTTGCAGTCCGAGCGACATCACTACTGAAAATTGCGAGCGAAATCTCATAATGTGAATCGGCGTCCACGCGGAATGAATCGCCGCATGTCAGATTATTCATGCAAAGTTTTGCGGTGTAACGAGCTTCGTTAATTTCGCTGACGCCGCTCAAGTTGCCAGACATCGTTAGGAGGACGTAGAATCAACAATTCCAACGCGAAAAAGAGCGCGGGGACTCACACCGACGCCGACAACGTCGCATTTCAATGGTTTGTTTATGGGCGACGGCGAGCTTCTTGCCCACATCCCCATTGCGCATGCGCGGCGCCGGTGGCGTCCTCTAGGGGCGCTCTGGGCGCTCCGATTTGTTTGTAAACATGATTTGGTGTATTGTTTGATATGAAAATAGTGCTTGGAGTTTGTGTTTTGTATGCATGAAAACATTTACACATAACAGGTCAGGTGCATATTGATAAAGGTTTTCAGCCAATTCATGTTGGTATGTATTTGTAAATTTCAGGGCTAAACAGGCAGATGGTTTGGCTTCTGCAGACTATACTCATCAGGGTTGAGCATCAAGGCACCCAACTGGACGCCATATCCGCCAGGCTTTCTGATGGCGGACTCGAGCTTCAAGAAGACTTAGAAGGACCATTTTCTAATATACAAGACTTCGAAACGTTTGATCAGGACTTGTCGGAGAACAATGTGATGAGGTTGAAGTTGGTGAGCTATTCCTACATTGAAAGTTTTTATGTTTTTAATACAATAGTGCAGGGGCGGCCAGGCTGACCCGGCCTAAGAGCCGCATACAGAACCACGAAACCTCCAAGAGCCGCACGGGGGAAGGGGGGGGGGGGGGGACAAACTTTGGTTTAGATTAATAAACGAAACTCGAACTACTTTCAATCTATCCGAGTCAAAAGCAGTCCAACTATATGTAAGATAGCAGTAGCACAAGATTACCATACCTCAACCTGTCTCCCGATTTAAAACGCGTTCCATTTCTCCTATTGGGGAAGTACTGGTGTGACCGGGAGGGAGGCGGAGGTGACAGGGGGTAGGGTGAGGGGGGGGGAGGAGGGGGGGAGATGGGGAGGGAGCTGCGAGCCGCACATTAACACGCGAAGAGCCGCATGCGGCTCGCGAGCCGCAGCTTGGCCACCCCTGCAATAGTGGGATGAGTGATTAATGAGGAGGGCATGTACTTGGGCTGGTTTGTGATTATTGACTCGAGGATAAAAGCGTTAAAAACAAGTGGAAGAATGACAAACACTACCAAGCACTTTGTGGTGTTTTTCTATCTTCCAGTTGTCCCTTTTTAGCATTTTTAAGCCATCGGTGCCAAGCAACCCAAGACTGAACGTGATTTTATAATGCCAAAATACTCTACAGGCAGCACTTTTGCAGCAAAATTGTATGTAGGGTGATTCCACGTCAGTTCATGCAATGATGGTCCGGGTCATATTTTTGCTAAAAATATATACGAAAGCCATGTTCTTGGGAGAAACATTCAGCTGTATGTGAACGCTGAGATATAAAATAGAGAAGCTCGAGGCGTGGAAATGGAGAAGTTTTCACAATGCTACTTTGCACAGTCATTTTCTCATCGAAGCTTTCACGTCACCAAAACGTTTTTAATACATTTTACGGAAAATATACAACACATACACCAAAAATTTGAAATATCAATAAAATATTTTTATGCAAACAAAATGATCAAACATGGCATAAAAACGCGTTTTAGACACATATTCACAATTTTTTTTGCAAATAAACCTTCCTTCATAATACTTCACAAAACATATCAAAATGTGGGTCTTTAAATATTCTTTACAAATGTATAAAGATAATATGCCCACCCTTAATTGTCTTCTTGTTAATCTTCGCAATATCCATGCCTCGAGCTTCTCTACTTTACATCTTAGCGGAAAAAAAAACATTAAGGCGTTCATATATAGCTGAATGTTCCTCCCAAGAACATGGCTTTCATATATATTTTTCAACAGAAAGATCTAGATTATGACCCGGACCATCATTGCATGAACTGACGTGGAATCACTTAGTAGCTGATTATTTCTGTAACATGTATGGCGCATTCTCGGCAAGATGTTGTGTCTTATGATGACTGGACTATGTTGCATTGACAGTCTTGGCACTCAATAACTTGCATGTTCGTATGAAAATTAATACATCAGTATGGTTTTGCATTTTGGTACTATGCTGAATTTCGTTTTTTGAAATTCGGTTTTAATGAGAAAAGGCTGGTATTTTAGAGCAGTATCGCATGTCTGGTGGGAGGTTGGAAAGCTCACCATCATGTGACATCATGTACTTTTGTATCAGGTTGTCCCCTGACCCATGAGATCAGAGTTTGTTATGATGGAGGACAGTTCAGTGATCAATATACGTCCTGTAAATAAAAACCTCTGCTGCTGTTTACAGCATAACCTCATTGAAGTTAAAGAAGAAAAAGAGAGAACTCCTCGAAACATCATGTGAATAAATACCTCTGCTGCTGTTCACACAAATGTGTGAACAGCTGTAGATTATAAATGTAGAATGATGAATTGCAAGCACATCTGCATGCGCGTAAAGGCAACTTTAGCAGGCTTGAAATTCTGTGTGCTTCGCCGCGCGAGCAGAAACAGGCTGTTTGATTGAAACCCGTCCCGTGGCCAGCTGGTTCCCAGAGTGCACCGCGCGGAACGTTGCGTGGAAGGATTTTTAAAAGTGGCCTATTGATCTATTGTAAAATACCGGGCAAGCGCCCACTCAAACTTTGGAGATAATCACAAAAAAATGGGGGATGGGCAGTTGTCCAGTCATCAATTTTACATGTAAGTGTACTGTGCGTATTTTCTCAGATCTTACAAATTTGGGAATGGGCGCTTAATTTGGAATCGGCGGATGCGCGGTATTCTATGGTATGTTATGATATTTTGTGCAATGTGCCACTGACTGATTAACAAAGGTGAATTGCCTAATTTTTGAAATATTAATTTGTGCAGAAATCCTTCAATAAGGTGTGGGCGTCTTGAGAAACATTGAATCATGTCGTTTTCATCAAGATAACCTCTGTGTGTCTCCTGCATAGGGTGGCGTGCCTTGAAAGTAAATGGGAATGTGAAGGTCTTTTCTGATGCGGTAGCTTCCAACTCATAATTGTCAGTTATCTAATTTTAAGTTATCTTATTTTTTCCAGAGCCCTTCTCTGTCTGAGGATCGAGCTGTGTGAAACAACATACAAGTCTGAAGTTTTTAGTTTCGGATTATGTTTTCTTGTGATAATTTTTTCATAGTTTTTAGTCTTTTTCAAAGCTGTGCAATCTTTCAGAATTATAATCCTGTTCCTGAAAGTAAAGTTTATATTTCAGTCCTTTTTAGTCATTCATGCATGCATATGCAAAATCACACACAGCTTAATCCTGGTTATATGCTGATATATTAACCTCAGGTTAATATATCAGCATATAACTTCTAATCAGCATAATTACTTCTAATCAGAAATATCCTCTCTTGAATATTCTGAAAGCATGAGGGCATTTTAGTTAGGCATTCTTGAGCATGTAACCAGAATTCAGTGAAAGAATTTAAATGTGCTTGAGGTTTTCAAACACAAGTACAGGGACAAACAGAAAAACAAGACAGACACGGACGTCCCTCAATTCACAATTACACCAACTTTTTTTTGGCGTGGTCCTCGCACTGTCCTTCAGGAAAAGAAGGGTATGAAGTTTATGCTGAAAAGTCGAAGTGGTTGTGAGCTGAATGCTGTCCATACCTGCTTGTTTTTATTTGTCCCTTGTGCTTGTGTTCTAAAACCTCAAGCACATTTAAATAATTTCTTTCACTCATTCTAGTTACATGCTCCTACATATGCATCAAATTGCACATTTAAATAACAAAAGCAACTGTCAGCATATGTCCTGAGGGGGGCCTCCCCAGGACATACGGAGGATGTGCAATGGACAACAAATGGATCCTGTTTGGACTGCTTGAGGATGAGTTTGGGACTACCTGAGGATGTCCAATCATCCTGACTTGGACATCCTGAGGATGTGCATAGGATGTCTTTGCATTGCCTGGTACCAGACTTCTCGATTAAGGCGGGACAGGTCCCTCTTTTCCGGCTGTGGTCCCACTGTCCCACCAGTGTGCTTGTGGGACAGTGGTTTGTCCCGCTTCGGCTACCCCGAACCGCGAATAGATAAAAGACTGTTAAACGAAAGGTTCGCACCCGTGAGGGGGTGCTTTTTCTGACCTATGAACAAGATATACATGGCAGAGAAGATGCTGATGCTGAAGGTTAATTTGCGAATCGCAGGTAAACAGTGCTATGAACATAGTATTTACAAAGATAAATACATTAATACTAAAGATGAATATTCCTACCAAATGTATTAGGTGTGCATTCCAAACAGAATGCAAATTGCAGGAAAAAATATGCTCGGCATATAAAAAATAATTGAAGCAAATGTGGTTTGCTACTGAAATTTTAAGTTTTCAAATCTCAACAGAATTGCCCCCTCTCCGACATACTTTGGGGCCCGATGAATATGGTCACTTTAGGTCGGAGGCTTTGCTTGTTTTCTCTCGTTTTTCAGGCAAAACTAACGGGATATTTTTTTCACGGGATAAAAATGCTCTAGAATTAACCTCTAACTCGTTTTTTTAAGAATCTCTTCAGCTTCCCTTTAATGTGGACGGTCGTTTGAGGACCTGGGGAAACTTCGTCTGAAAGCGTAGCACAGTGGCATAGCCAGGAGTGCGCCGCGTTTGCAAAATGAGCTGCAACATGCAAGGAGTCAAAACTCAAAAGCATTCACCTTCTGCAAACATGTCCGCCTCTCTGCCCAGTTTCCTCGCCAGACTGGCCAAGCGACAATCAAATGCAGGCATACTTACTGCTCCCTCTCTTATTAAATCTAGGCTCTCTCAGTCATCTATGCCAGAACGTTGGTGCTAGCACTCCGAACATGCCTATCGGCATGCCACAATGGCTTCTCCGCGTGCAATGCGTTGAAGCCGCTTCCCAGATAAGGAATGGGGAGCAGACGACGTTGCAGAGTCAGAGTTGCAAAGTTTCAGAAGGCCGCCGGCGGCCTTTCAGAATCTTCTACAGCCTGTTCTGGGTGGCTTCTTGGCCGCGGCAGCAAAGTGCGGTGGTCCGAGACTTAGTAAACTTTCTGAATTATATTCTTTTTTTAAAATTATCACAAAATTTCTCTTCGCTATATCTGCAGGAGCCGTTCAATTTCCTTCGCTAAAAACAGACACAAATGCATTGAAAAAGTACAAACGAGAATGGGAAATTGTGATCGCTTCGCTGTAGCCACTATTTCGGTATAACTGACTTCGTTATAACCGGTCTCGACAGTACATCCAGGCCGTGTGGCCGTATTCCAAAATATACTCTCACTCCTGGGTAAAGGTCTTGTACCCGTTGCATTCAAAAACCTACCCACATCCAGCATTGCTGTATTTAATTGTCTTGTCACGGGACTTGATCCGTCAAAATAACTCGGATCCTCGAATCCATTAGAGTGAGATTGGAACACAGCATCGGAGTATGGCACCTGGAGTGCGTCTTCAACTGGTGTGTTTAGCGTGGCCGAGTGGGCTAACGCGTTTCAGCTCGGAGCGTCGAGCGAAAGCTTGCGCTGAGAACCTCCTGGGTTCGATCCCCACCAACCCTGCCCGTTTCGATTTGGATGAGTTTCGTACCGGCACGCATTTGTGTAATCACTACTGCGTGATGCACAATAAAAACTCCAGGTTAGCGGTTGTATTGCACTAGCTAAATTTCTCATCTACAGCACAGAGGCCGGTCACCTGTCGAGGCGTATCTCCATCAAGGCTGTATAAACATACAGAGCGAGACAATTTTTCCATACATCAAAAGTGATCCCGAAGTGGCAACAGCATGACACTTCTACGACGTCATCAGGCGGAACTCGAGGGACCACTTTTTTGGACGCGGTCAACGAGGTAGAGGGCCTTAGAGTGATAGACTCGCAGCTGAAAGTGACCCCGATCGGCCGCCGCCATATTGCACGCTTTTGACCACTAGATGCGTGACCTTATAGTTGTACGTCTAGATTTTAACCAAGTACCGTGCACAAATAATTACTTATCGATCTTTAATAACAGTACCGACGAGATAAGTTGTGTTTTGTTTGTCTAAAATGTGCTTTTACGACAAAAACTCGGGCAGCTTTGCAATGCCTCCGCTAGATGCCGTGAGCCGGGGTGCCGTATTTTGGGTTTTTATCGGAGCCAGACATTGATCTCTGGGGCTAACAATATTGAAAAAATAATTTATCATATTTTTTACAGCGGTCGCAATACAAATCTCGGCTCAGTTTTGCGTAAAAGCTTCAGGATTTGGTACGGTCACGTGTCTAGTGGTCAAAGTTGTACAACATGACGGCAAGCAAGCCAAGTGGGGGTCACTTTTGCCTGGTGAACGGGATACCAGTTTATCGCTCTAAGCCCCTCTACATCGTTGGACGCGGTAATCACACTAGTGGGAGACGTGTTCCTAGCACCATAGCCAGAGGACCCATCTGCTAACCGTGATCTGGCCAATCTGATCTGTCCCCCCACCACTGGGCGCAGCCATATTAACGTCGCGTGATCACTAATGTGGCAAGTGTGGCAAACAGGCCAGGGCTGTGTTAGCTTTGTTCCAAATCTTACCCAAATGGATCCGAGGTACTCTGGCAGGTCTTGTCACGTGACAACACAGATTGAAAACTGCTGGACGCGGGGAGGTTTTAGAACGCCAAGGTACAAAACCCTTACCCTGGAGCAACGTTGCCCTGAAGTAGTAGTGAGTAAGATCATTGGCATCCCACTCCGCAAGGCCATCTTGCATCTTGAAAAATTGTGTTTTTGGAGCATTGCAGAGGTTGGCGGCAGCGTGCTGAAGACACTTTCTACTCGTTCGTCGTCATTCACTGAAGAAGTTCTTTAAAACCCTGTGTAAGCCGCGAAACTTGTCATTGAGAATGCGTGGAAATTTTTACGGAAGCGCAGTGCTGCAGGAAACAGGCACAACTCGTCGAATGCAGGTTTCGCCGGTCTCACGGCGTGATCAAAGCTTCCTTGGCACGCCGATACGCTGCGTCTCTGCCTTCGCACACTTCGATAATGATCAAGAATCGGCCCCGCGGCAAAGTATTGAAGGTGTCTCGCGCATAGATGTTTTTGCATCATATATATCGGCCACGGAGTTCTGGATCGTCCGGCTGTTTCGGCGAGTTTCTATCAATAAAGGGGGGAAAACAATCTGTACAGTTGCTCTTATGCACTATTAACCATGGCTATGTTGCAAATCTACTTTAATGGATCACATGGCAGCACAAATAGAGCATTGCTGTATTTTTCAAAAGCAAAACTATGAGACGGCAAGAACGAAAATTTCTGAGGTGCTTGTAGTTTGCATACGGTCGTGTGCAATCTGTTGACCAATCACAATTAGGCGAGCCACGCTCAAACGTCAAGTGCAATAAAGTAGGTTGATAATGAGCCAGCACTGATCAGTGATGAGGAGCTGTTGTGCGCGGTATTCTGTAAACCGTCCAACGGCGAAAAAAAGACATGCCTTCCCCCACCTGTTCTGTCGCCACTGGAAGCTGAACCAAGCTCGGTTCTGGACCGCGAGTGCCGCAAGTTACAAATACAGTTGTCAGAGTAAAAATTAAAATGCTGCTCCAGAAGCACATACGGCTTCACGCACATTGCACTCGCAAAACACATCCACACGGTGTCGATTCTTGATCATTATCCAAGCGTGCGAAACGGGTGTAGCCAGGGAGTTGGGAGGGGAGGGGCTTATGCGGCTTGAGCCACCCCAAAATCATGCATTTTGACTCCCCTCCCCTTCTCCGCACCCCAAGTCAAGGACATCCCAGCCACCTCAGCCCCTCCCGAAAAAAATTCCTGGCTACGCCTCTGGCGCAAAGGCACAGAGACGCAACACTTTGGCGTGCCAAAGAAGCTTTTATCATGCCGCGAGACCGGCAAAACTTGCTTCTGTTGAGTTGTGTCTTTCTCCTGCGGCACTGTGCTTCCGTAAACATTTTCAAGTGTTCTCAACGGCAAGTTTCACGGCTTACACAGGGATTTAAGAAACTTCTTTGGCGAATGACGACAAACAAGTAGAAGACATATCTTCAGCACGCTGCCGCCAGCCTCCGCAACGCTCCAAAAACGTGATTTTTCGAGATGCAAGATGGCCGTCCTTTTTGGAACACGGCCAAGATGGCGGCAAGTGGAGGGGGGGTGCCATTTTTGTTGCAGACCATGGGTTCCGGTTTACTGCTCTAAGGTAAATACTTAAGCTTGTTGGTGTGTGCACACAATTTCCGAAAT